CAATGCAGGATTTGCAGCTGAAGGATCCCTGACATGTGCCCATCCAACCTCTGTTTAAAAGTCCCCCAGTGAAGAAGAGCCCACCACCTTGCGAGGGAGCCCATCCCACTGTCGAACAGCTCTGACTGTCAAAAAGTTCTTCCTGGTGTTTAGTTGCTTCTTCAAGTTCCTTCGAAAGGTGCTTTCCTAGGACAGGAACTCTCAAATATTTTTTTCTGGTCACACCCCATGTGGTTCCATCAACTCATCCCTGGTACAGTCCAACCTCGGCTCCTGAACCATAGCTGTCAACCGTCCCTTATTTGGTGGGAAAGTCCCTTATCCCAGCGCTGTGTCCCGCTGCTGTCCCTTATTGATGATGTCCCTTAAATTCCCCAGGTTTCAAAGGAAGCAGCTCCTCTCCCTCCTTCCCTGCCGGCCAGGGAGGAGGGAGGCTCCAACTGTGTTGCTTGGCTGCGTTGCTCACCCAATAAGGAGTCTAAGAACGACTGGGGGGTGGAGCTTGCATGCCTTGTGCCGATCAAATTGGCCACGTTGCCTGGGGACTCGCCTTTGCTCAGCGCTTCCCAGTGGAGAGGTGACGGTAGTTTTCCTTGCTGCATCCCCTTTGCCGGGTTGCTGCACTGTGGGAACCACTGTTTGAGTCTTTGTTTGGCTGCTGGCTGGGCTTTCTGCCTCTGGCTTGGAGGGGCTCAGAGGTTTGAACATACCTGTGCTCTGAAAATCCCTTATTTTGGCTGCTGATCCCTTATTTTTGAGGCTGCTGGTCCCTTATTTTCAAATCTGTAAGTTGACAGCTATGTCCTGAACGCCTCCATTTCGGCTCCAGAACGCCGAAAACCCGGAAGTAACTGCTCCGGTTTTTGAACGATTTTCGGAAGCCGAATGGCTTCTGGGAAATTTATTTCTTTTTTCTGCATTGACTCTGTCGACTGCTCTTTGATCCCCGGAAGTTGAACTGTCCTCCGGAACGGATTACGTTTGACAGCCGAGGTTTGACTGTACCACCTTCCCTACCCAATAGAAAGCACAATTAAAGAAGACTGGAAACATTTAATGAATCTATGGGAAATAATTGTGTACAGCTGAAAACACTGGCGGCATTAAGACCAATTCAACAGCGTAAACAAGTTTTGGATGGATGCAAAATGGAATACTGAATGGTATAGTTTTTGTAAAATATGCAGGGATTTATGATATGTAGAATGAACCATGGAAAGAGAAGAATGGAAGTCATTGATATATTAAGTATGTAAAATGAGTATTTTAAACTGTAAAACAGAAAATTTAATAAAAAATTATATATATATATAAATAAAAGAAAGCATAATTCAGAATAGCAGTTTGCACAAGGAAGATAATATCACAGCAAAATTCAAAACAGTAACAATTAATGATGCATTTATTTCACAATCCAATCAAAACAAGTTAGCTTTATTAATTCAAGAAAATGGATGAACTTGATCTAGCGATACCAGCTGTCCAAAGCCCAATAGTCTTTATTTGTTTTATTTCATAAAATTTGTATACCACTTGATTGCAACAAAGCCTCAAAGCTGTTTACAAAAAGCCACTGACAGCTCCCGTGCCCCCTGCTGCCTCCTTGGCTCTTAGTGCCCCCCAAGGAAATCCCAACCCCCCTAAGATGCTACCAAGGACTAGTGTAGAGTCAACAACTGCAACTCAAAATTGGTGCATATGTCTGTGTCTCCTTGCTGCCTACCAAGGCAACATGGATGGAGGGTTATTGAATCCTCGAACTGCAGACTTGGAAGGTACCCTCAGGGTCATCAAATCCTGGCACATCCAGCTCCCAAGAGAATGTGATCTACTCCCAGTATAAAAAAAACTGGCAGTGATCTACCCCTTGTCATTGGAGGGTGGATTTCCCAGAGTTGTTGAGCCCAGAGCTGTCAAGCTTTTTTTGGGTAGGATTGCCCAGAGTCCTTCAGCTTTTATTTGTTAACTTTCGGTAAACTTTATTTAATCCCACGATTGATAAGGGACCCACGATCTACCAGGATCAGCAGGGGATCTACCGGTATATCGCCATCTACTGGTTGGACACGTCTGATTTCTTGTCCAATGCTCTGCAACACAGGATTGGCAACTAAAGAATCTCTGGCAAATGGACATCCAATCCCTGCTTAAAAACCACCAGTGAAGGAGAGTCCACCACCAAGGGAGTGTTGGAGCTTCCGTACGACCAAGCTGTAATAGCTCTCCTCCTCGTTGTATCTTTGGAATCCATCGACCTCTGCTCCGATGGTGATTAATGACCTAAGCCTTTAATGAGGCTTCAGGCATGCTCCCGTTACGCAGAGTATCCAAACAGCAGCAAATGGAGCCGAAATATGTGCTACATCGCTACGTTTATTTCTATCTACACAGGACAGAAAAGAATATGCATCTACTCTCTGTGAGAGTCAGTGAACAACAGGAACAAAGAAAGAGGAAACCAGTAACATCAATATCCGTCTCCTGTCTTGTGACTCCAAAAACTGCACAGTGGCATAACAGAAGTCTAACAGGGAGTCTGTTCCAGTCTCGAATAGTTCTTACAGTCAGAAAGTTCTTCCTAATGTTCAATCAGAATCTCCTTTCTTGTTGCTTGAATCCACTGGTTCGAGTCCTACCCTCCAGAGCAGGAGAAAACAAGCTTGTTCCCTCTTTCATGGGAAAGCCCTTGAGATATTTGAAGATGGCTATCATATCTCCTTTCAGTCTCCCAGGCTAAACAGACCCAGCTTCTTCCACCATTCATCTCCAAGCCTTTGATCATCTTGGTCGCCCTCCTCTGCACACCTTCCAGCTTGTCAACACCCTCCTTAAATTGCGGTGCCCAGAATTGGACACGTTATTCCAGGTGTGGTGTGACCAAGGCAGAATAGAGTGGGACTATGACTTCCCTTGATCTGGACACTAGACTTCTGTTGATGCAGCCTAGCATTGCATTAACTTGTTGTTGTTGTTTGAAGAGAGAGAGAAGTGCCTGCCTGTGGCTACCTGAACTCTGAGGGCTGCCCATTGTCGATGCAGGGCATGTCAAGGCAGGCTCCTGCTCTGAGCCGCCATGAAATATACATGGGATGCAAAAAAGAGCTGTGTTCTGAGGCTCCACGCAGCATAACCTTTCCCAGACTCTGTGCTTCGTGATTTGTAGAGCAAGAAGCAGCGAGGGCAGCAGCTGCTGCCTGCCGATTGCAGGGCGTTAACCTTTCCACGCTTGGTCACGATCCATCAAATGGCAAGAAGCCTGCTGAGCGCATCGGATTGGGATCAAAGGCAGACAGGGCCCACTGTGACTGATAGATCAGTGGACCTTTGGCTTGGATGAGAAGCCCCCTTCTTCACAGCGGCTGCTATCAAGGGCCCCGAAGAGATGAGGTTGTGGATTTGATGGATGTATCAGGTTTACCACTCAGGTGCTCCAAAGGTGGTGAGGTTGAAACTACCTTTGCTCATGCATCATTCATGTAGCCCTGGGTGCAGGTGCTGACCATAGCTGTCAACTTTCCCCCCCTTTTTAAGGGAAATTCCCTTATTCCGATTGGATTCCTCACAAGAAAAGGGAAAAGTTGACAGCTATGGCACTGTCAACTGGGGTGCAGCCTTCATCTGTGAGCACCAGGAAGCCATTGCTTCCTTGCCTCTCTCCAGAACATTCTCTGCTTCTGGGTTGCCCAGTGATCACACAGAAGTGGCTCAGTCTATTTATTTTTTAGGGGCGGTAATCAATTAAATCGTCTTACCCCATACATGCCCACTCAACTTCTTCATCCTGTGGAACTGTCCCCGTTGCAGACGCCACGTAATACTCACCCCACATTTACAAGAAGCCTTATCTTTTAATGCAGCAGCACCTACACTTTGGAACTCCCTGCCAATTGATACCACTGCACTCTTTTCGGCAGCTGCTAAAAAAACATTTTGCTTAGACGAGCCTGCCCAGACAGTTCAAAAGTTGATGCTAGCTTTAATCTGTTTTTTAAAATCTATTGCCATTTAATTTTTTTCCAAAACTCTTAAATCATGGTTAGTAATTTTTCTTATTGATATTTTTACTGTTTTACCATTTTTGGAAACTGCTTTTTTAAATAAAAAAAAAACAACAACAACCAAGAGGAATGTAAATTTTATGAAATGAAATGAATAAATGAATAATTGTGGTGGAGCAAGGCTTATCACTACAGAGGGTCAGGGCAGGAACCAGAATACGTACTCCAGCTGAGCTCTGCCTCTTTGCAGGTAGATAATGCAGTAATAGAATTGCAGAGGTGGAAGGGCCCTGAGGATCATCTAGTCCATGTCAGGAGTTCAGCTTACACTCAAGAAGGACCCTGGCAGAGACACATGCCTGACTGGCATGTTCTCTCCCTCCTGGTCAATCGTTCAGGAACTTCATAAGCTTTCTTCTGCCCGAACATCACAGTGACCGATGCCAACAGACACCGGCACACTTAGGGATCCCCAGAGTTTGCGCATCATGCATGACAGACCTCAGCAACTCAGCATTTTGGCTAATCTACTTTATTTACATATAAACACACACAGAGCACTGCAACACGGCTCCCTCTCTCTCTAGCAGCAAAGAGAAAAAGAACAAGGGCAATAGTCCCACTTCATGGAACACAGCAACACAAACATCCTGTCTCCGTCACTTCCCACTTTGTGAGTCAAAACAAACACCGTCATGTCATAGACAACAATCCCATGACTGCAATCATGGAGCAGGAATTCTAACAGTCCAACCCCCTGCAATGCAGGAATCTCAGCTGAAGCATCCATGACAGATGGCCATCCATCTTCTGCTGAAAAACCTCCAAGGACGGACAGCGCACCACCTCTTCTGGGAGTCCACTGTCGAACGGCACCTTCCATCAGAAAGTTCTTCCTGATGTTTAGTCAGAAACTCCTTCCTTGTCATTTGAATCCATTGGTTTGGGTCCTACCTTCCGGAGCTGCAGAAAACCAGCTTGCTCCATCTTCCATGTGCATCTGGCTATCTTCCTGCTGGGCCTCACCCGCAAAAATGCTCCTTGCTGGGACCTCTCCATGGCTGGGTAGAGGAAAAAGATGAAATCCAGAGGAAGCTGGACTAGTTGACCCCTGGAAACCCTTCCCACCTCTACAATCCTATGATTTTATGACTCCATGAGGTCATTTCAAGACACATTGGGGGTCTGTGGCCAGTTGAAATCCATTGTGGTCAGTGTCCCAACTAAAACAAGCTGGTTATCTAAAATGATGGAATGCTTCCATATTGCCAAACTAACAGGGAGGATAAGAGGCGATATGGTACAAAAAGTGAATAAGGAGTGGGTTATCTTTAAGGAATACATCAAAATTTATGTGGAAAAAGTAGAATTTCTGACCGATACTGAGTGAATCCAGAAAATGTTTAGAGCGAAAGGAGAGTAAAGTCAAGCTAGAAGAAGAGATTAAAGAAATAATGAAATGCGTTTAAGCTAGCTGGAAAAATAAAGTAGCGTAACAAGAACGGCTGGAAGTCAAGTCACTTGGTGGGTGTCTGTATGGGGTAGGTGTGTAGGTATGTTGATATGTACAGTATAGGTAGGTATTATATAGAGTAATGTAGGTATGTTTTATGTTATGAAAATTAGGTAGTGTGTTGTGTATGTGTAATGTGTAAATGTATATGTATGTGTTTTATATGTTAATAAAATTAAAATTAAAAAAATTAAAAAAGGGAAAAAAAGAAATCCATTGTGGTCACAGGCAGCAATGTGGAAAAGAGCCGTCTCTAAATCACCGTGAACAAAACAGACCTCTGCTCAATTTCGCTTGCTAAATAAATGCTTGCTGAGATAAAAGGGTTTTTCTTTCTTTTGCAGCAGTTCCAAAATGTATTCAGGCTTGGCGTTTGACCTCTAAAAGAAAGGGAGCGCTGGAGCTCCAGAACAGAGAATGAATGGATTAATTAAATTTAAAAGGATACAGTTTAATCAGTCGAGTCCTGCGAGCCGCTTACTGCTGCCACTGCAGCCTTTGCCAGCTTGGAGTCTTCCAGACGTTTGCGACAATGGCTGCTGTCAGCCAGCCCAGCGATGCTGACTGAGGCTGATGGGATTTGTAGTCCAGAACAGCAGCAGCAAAACAAGAAGTGATTTAGGGCTGGCCTTTCGGAACCCTTTTATCTCCTCTGGGCCATTACAGCCTGCCTCTTCAGTCATATATACCAAAGGCAGGTGCTTAGAGTGACCCATAAAGGCTTTTACGAGTAAGAGTGCCGCTGACAACAGCCCACATCAATCCAGCGTTTTATCCATCCCCGAACAACCGCTCTCTTGCGACACAAACAATGTAGCAATTTCGGTTGGGAAACAGCCTTTTTGTCCGCCTTTTATTTATATGAACTACCCTAGAGTTTCATCAGCCCCACCAGCTGCATCCTTTGATCCTGCAGAGCGTACAACTGCAGGCGGCGTCTCCTTCCTTATGTTCCACTGCAATCAAAAGAGCATTGTGCTACAAATGCCCAACATCCTTTCTCTCCCCCAAATCTCCATTTCCCCTGTTTTACTTCTGGTGAACTCAAAAGCTTCATCGCTGCTTCGTGGCTCCTCTGTCGGCCCTAATAAAATCAAGATATAATGATACTGTTGCTTTCGGCTTTTCTGTGCCCACGGAAACCGGCTTGGAATGCCTCTGTATCTCGGTTCCTGAGATGGAAAGCTCTGTTCCAAAGGTGTGCTGTGATGTTGGGCTCATGTCCTGCATCCTGGCTTTCCATTGGGGCTTCTGGGAGGCCAGTCTGAGAACAGGATGCTAGATGGGCCCTTGGGTTGCACTTTGGTCTGGGAAGTGCAAATTGGGTGGGCTTAATTTATTTTATTTCACAAAACATATACAGGCATGGACCTGAAAAAGTTAACGCCAGCTATGTAGATGCCAGAAGTGTGCATGTGTGTATCTGGTGCACCTTAGGAGGCTGCTGTAACCATATGCTTTTGTCAATAAAGAATGAACTATCGGCTGTTTGTCTTCCTTGGCTGGGAGTCTGCAATACACGCCAGGCCTGGCTTTCAGGAAAAGAGCACATGCTTTTCCACGCAGAAGATGCCAGCCTCGATTTGATTTATTCAGTTTATAAGCTGATCCTTCCCCAGTGAACCAGGGTAGGCGGTGGGTTGGTTAGCACATTTCAAAGACAAGCCGATACATGCTGCCCTTGAAACTGTCCCAGAAACTCCAGCGGGTGCAGAATGCTGCAGCGAGGCTCCTCACGGGGTCCCTGCCATGGGAGCATATTCACCCAGTGCTTTACCAGTTGCACTGGCTCCCGGTGGAGTATAGGGTCAGGTTCAAGGTGCTGGTCTTGACCTTTAAAACCCTTTGTGTCTTAGGGCCCTCGTATCTATGGGACCGCCTCTCCTGGTCTGCCCCGCAGAGGACATTAAGGTCCATGAATAACCATCGTTTAGAGGTCCCGGGCCCTAAGGAAGTCAGACTATCCTCCCCCAGGGCCAGGGCCTTCTCAGTGATGGCTCCGGCCTGGTGGAATGCTCTGTCCCACGAGACCAGGGTCCTTCAGGATTTAATCTCCTTCCACAGGGCCTGTAAGACAAAGCTATTCCACCTGGCCTTTAATTTGAATTCAGTCTGATCTTTTGTTTCCCTTCTCTTCCCTCCCCCTCCCCTTTTATGAAGATCACCCGCTCTGAGACCCCACAGCTAATTCTCCCCTGGCCTCCTCGCTGGCCCAAGTAGGACCAATTCAGCCAGCTAGCCCTGGTGATTATCTAATGCTTACTAGATGGATTTCCCCTAAATTTATTTCTGAACTTTGAATTTTATTGTTATTCATGTTTTTATACTGTATTTTATGCTGCTTTTACAATTAAATGTTTTAAATTTGTTGCCCTGAGCCCGGTTTTTGAACCGGGAAGGGTGGGGTATTTTTTTTAAAAAAAATATTATTATTATTATCAACTACACCAACAAATTACAAGACATCATAAAAAACCCAATAAAAATAATGCAGTAATAAAAACTGGAACTTTTTAAAAAGGGTTGATCCCTGGCATCTCCATGCAGGACCTGCTTGAAGCCCCTGAGAGCTACTGCCAGTCCGTGTAGACAGCATTGAACTAGATGGGTTAACAGTATGACTTGTATCAAGGTGGCTTTCCATGCTCCCTTTTAAATTCAGGCTGCTACCCAAAATGCTTCTCTGATATTGTGGGCACAGAGTAAGTGCAATTGTGCATTGTGGCCATCTGTCCAGGGAAGGAGAGACACGGCTGTCTGTCTGGAATCCTGGAAAGCCACTGCCAGAAAGCACAGTAGACAAGATTAAGGAACATAATAGAAACATGAAGAGCCTGTTGGGTGACATCAATGACCCATCTAGTCCAGCATGCTGTTCTCACAGTGGCAAAACAGATTCCTATTGGAAAGTCATAAGCAAGATCTCAGCACAAAAGCACCCTCTCCTCCTATGGTTTCCACCACTGCCTCCAACTGTTGAGGTAGAGCATAGCCATTGTGGCTAATAGTGGCTGATAGCCCTATACATTTGTCCAACCCTCTTCTAAAGCCAGATTCATGGTGGACTACTGCAATGCGCTCTACGTAGGGCTACCTTTGAAGGTGACTCAGAGACTGCAATTAATCCAGAATGTGGCAGCTGGACTGGTGACTGGGAGCAGTCACCGAGATCACACAACACCGGTCCTGAAAGACCTACATTGGCTCCCAGTATGTTTCCGAGCACAATTCAAAGTGTTGGTGCTGACCTTTAAAGCCCTAAATGGCCTTGGTCCAGTAGACCTGAAGGAGCATCTCCACCCCCATCGTTCTGCCTGGACACTAAGGTCCACTTCTGGGGGTCTTCTAGCGGTTCCCTTGCTGCGACAAGTGAGGTTACAGGGAACCAGGCAGAGGGCCTTCTCGGTGGTGGTGCTTGCCCTGTAGAACGGCCTCCCATCAGATGTCAAGGCAATAAACAACTATTTTACTTTTAAAGGACAACTGAAGGCGGCCCTGTTCAGGGAAGTTTTTAATGTCTGACGCTGTGCTGTTTTTAATATTCGGTTGGAAGCCGTCCAGAGTGGCTGGGGAAACCCAGCCAGATGGGCGGGGTATAAATAATAAATTATTATTATTATTATTATTATTATTATTATTATTATTATTATTAGCTACTTCCTGGAAGCCACAGGTGGCGAGAGATGAGATTTCTGCTTGCTAGTTTCTGACGGCCATCTAGTTGGCCACTGTGAGAACAGGATGCTGGACTAGATGGGCCATTGGCCTGATCCAGCGGGCTCCTCTTATGTTCTTATGCCCAGATGGTTTGAACTAAACTCCCATAAGCCTCAGCCAGCACAGCCATGCTAGCTGGGGTTGATGGGAGCTGTAGTCCCAAACCTCTGAAGGCCACCAGATGTGAGATCTCTGGTCCAGCAGAACCAAGTAACTTATATTACGCTGTGATGAGTTAACATCAAGCAGTTCTCTGATTCTTCCTTAAATCGGTGCCCTCCATGATGTCACAGCACAAGGTAAGTACTGTCTGGCATTTTGAAAGCAGCGTACTTACACCTAGTCTGTCCTTAAAGTACACCAGCAGGTGTTTTTCTGGTCTTAGAATAATCTGTCTGAGCCTTTGTGTAACGTTTGCAGTGATACATCCCCACCCAGCTGTTCTGCTCAGGACTTGTAGGCATTAGACGCGGTTGCTTTCCATGGTGCTGAAATCTATGTCCTTCCTAGTCCCAGGAGAGGCCGGCTGCATCTCAGCCAGAAGGTGATATTCCCAAGATGATATACAGTGGTACCTCGGGTTAAGAACTTAAATTGTTCCGGAGGTCCGTTCTTAACCTGAAACTGTTCTTAACCTGAGGTACCACTTTAGCTAATGGGGCCTCCCGCTGCTGCCACCACTGCTGCACAATTTCTGTTCTCATCCTGAAGCAATTCTTAACCCGAGGTGCTATTTCTGGGTTAGCGGAGTCTGTAACCTGAAGTGTATGTAACCTGAAGCATATGTAACCCGATGTACCACTGTACAGATAAGGAGGAGTTCTGGTAGGCACTGGGCTTCTTGGTTAAATCCCACATTTGCTTCTTTGCTGAGGCACAGAGTGCTGTCCATCGTGAATGCTCTGAAAAGACGATTGAAAAGCTCAAGAACACCAGCTCTGTGGTTAAGGGCTCATTCACATGCATGGTCTCCAATGCAATATAGATGTTGTCCCCCACTTCCATCACCCTGTGTTAAGTAAGTAGGAGAGCTGCCATGCAAGAGAGTAATTTTTGTGTGTGGAGGGTAGCATGGAATGCCCAGGAAGATCAGCACTTGGAGGGTTAGCCAGCCTCTCTCCTCCTTCAACAGGTGACGCTGTGGTCTAAACCACTGAGCCTCTTGGGCTTGCCAATCAGAGGGTTGATCCCTGTGATGGGATGGGCTCCCATTGCTTTGTCCCAGCTCCTGCTAACCTAGCAGTTTGAAAGCATGCCAGTGCAAGTAGATAAATAGGTACCACTGTGGCGAGAAGGTTTAGATCACAGTGTTCTGTTGCACCAGAAGCGGTCTAGTCCTGCTTGCCACATGACCCAGAAAGCTGTCTGCAGACAAACGTCGGCTTCCTTGGCCAATAAAGCGAGATGAGTGCCGCAACCCCATAGTCACCTTTGACAGGACTTAACCGTCCAGGGGTCCTTTACCTTTTACCTTACTTGCTTCTAAGCAATCCACTGGGGTAGTCAGGAAGGGGAGTCTAAGGATCTTGCAGGAGGGTGTAATCTGGTGACCTCCAGATGTTCTGGACTGCATCACCTATCACCACCAGCCAGCAAGGTCAAGGGGACGGCTGATGTAGTCCAGGACATCTGGAGGACAACAGTTCCCCTACCCCTGATGTAAGGCTTAACACACACATACACCTCTGCCAAGCATAACTGAGCACCACTCAACATTAAAACAAAAAGAGCGAGACATTTCTTGCTATGATTTATGTGTGTACAATTTGGAATCAAAATATTTATTTATCTATTTTTTAAAAAGAAAAACACAGGGAACAAGGAGATGGTCACAGAGAACATCTTAAGTCTTCTTCGACAACCTATCCCTGACATGAGGGAAGCTTTTTTTAAAAAAAAAGTCTCAAAGGAGGTGTAGAACTGAAATTTGTTAGCTGATTTAGCTGCCCCAAGTGGTGTTTCTGCACCAGAGAAGGACACAAATTAAATGTCTTAGTTAAATAAATAAGTATAAATGCAACCTCCTCATTCTCCCTCCCTTGCCCCTGCAAGGATCACTGGTGATTCTTGTGCTACAGAAAGCAATAGGTGCCTTTATGTGCTGTGTAACTCTAGGGAGGAGTTTTTCAAACTGGGTTCCTAGGACTCTCAACTGCCTTGGAAGCAGAAGGAGGAGTTGATCGCTGAAGGGACTAATGGTGGACTAGTTGCTTGAGAGCCTCCTGTCCCATTGCCAATCATTTCCTTTTACAAGGGCTGTGTACACACAATAAATACCTTTAAAACACATTTTAAGCACATACTTTCCCTCAAAGAATTCTGGGCCCTGTAGTTTACAGATATAAAATTCCCAGCAGATCTTAACAG